CTTTAATGAATGTATTTAAAAGGCCAACATTTCCTTTACTCGTTCACATGCTGTTGCTTTGGCGTCATTGCATTAAAATGAGAAGGCTTTTAAGTCATTTGTAATTTATGAACATTTTACAAAAAACTTTCAATTTTTTTATGTGAACATTTTCTGTAGAAAATTTTACTTAAAGCAAGTCTACAAATGTTATATCAAAAACTGTAGCAAAATGTTCAGTATACAGTTTTATTACCTTACAATATGTCATTATATTATGTATCCCCTGTGATCAAATAAGGAAGGTTAAAACTATGCTTGTTGGTACTGAAGTTCCCATAGTCCCCTGAAGATAGCTATAGTAAGACGAAGACAAAGCCATATAACAACATAAAATATTTTTCCCATTGGACAATATAGGTAGTTCAATAGCCCTAGTAAAAAAAAAACTAAATCATTTACAGTTTACTGTTTTATTGGCATACATTGCATTCACTGGCATAGCATCTATACAAAGGGCTGCATTAAACAAACAGACCATGTCCCATTACAACACTGTAATTTCCTTCTGAAAGACACAGGTCTGATTGGCATAAATATACACTACACTTCTGAAATCTGATTGGTTGATGTGATCAATTAAATATCATCATTTATTTCACTCTTAGTATTATTGGTTAGCACTGTGGCCTTGCAGCATTGAGATCATGGGTTACATCTCCACCAAAGCCAATGTCGTCACATAGTTCCTTGTATTCTTTGAGTGTTTTCTAGTTGTGCTGGTTTTTTCACACAAACCAAAAGTTAGCTAACTTCTACCAGAAATTGGCCATGTAATCTAATTTTTCATTTTTTAAACACAAAAGGTAAACAGATCCAGCACATCGAAATATAATACAAACTCTAGATATCCCCGCGAAAAGTATCACTCTCACCCTTGAAAGTGCAAACAAAATATACATACAATCTTTTCGATAATCCCTCTACCACCCCCGAACAGTGCAACAACATATATCAGCAAAATTCCACATATGAGTCCATGTATAGTGCTTTTCAATATATAGTGTTTTAAAACGTTGGAGACTCCTTCACTTTGCTGTTTTTCAATCCAGGAACCTCAAATAAGGATACCTCAAAAAAATATAAACTAAATATAGTGCATTATCTTTAAACAAAGAAACACTCTGAAGACACGTGAGAAACTACAAGTGATTCCTCCTAACTCCCCCCAGTGACAAATCAACACTCCCAAACCAAAAAAAAAGTGATGAAGTGCAACACTCCACAACCAGTGTCACCTTCCAAAAGTACTATATGCCATTACCCTCTCATAAAAAAACACACGCATCCAAATAAAATAGTGCCATCTCTCTTGTGATTCAAAATACCATTACCCTCTTCCAATGCAGACCAAGCAAAGATTCCTTCCGGGCAATCCAAAATTTCTCCCTCACCGGAAGCTTCCTATTACTTCCAATTCACCTTCCCCGTTCCTAAGGGGCAGATAGTAAAAAGGCTCAGTGGAGTATATAAAAGGGTATCACAATTTTATTCATATCTTACATAGATTACGCCAGCGTCCATCCTCTCCCACAGTCCATATAACTGAACTCCAGTCTTCAAGATGGCCGTGCCGCTCCTTCCGGTTTGAGATAATACTGTTACGTCCTAAGCGTAAATTTGTTTTAAACATTAAGCAGTTTGTTGAATACTGAAGTTTGCAGATTACCCCAAATTACTAAGGCACACTTTGCAATGCTTTTCCAGAGTGACAAGTTTGAGATAAATACTGTTACGTCCTAAGCGTAAGGACGTAACAGTATTATCTCAAACCGGAAGGAGCGGCACGGCCATCTTGAAGACTGGAGTTCAGTTTATATGGACTGTGGGAGAGGATGGACGCTGGCGTAATCTATGTAAGATATGAATAAAATTGTGATACCCTTTTATATACTCCACTGAGCCTTTTTACTATCTGCCCCTTTGAGGAACGGGAGGTGAATTGGAAGTAATAGGAAGCTTCCGGTGAGGGAGAAATTTTGGATTGCCCGGAAGGAATCTTTGCTTGGTCTGCATTGGAAGAGGGTAATGGTATTTTGAATCACAAGAGAGATGGCACTATTTTATTTGGATGCGTGTGTTTTTTTATGAGAGGGTAATGGCATATAGTACTTTTGGAAGGTGACACTGGTTGTGGAGTGTTGCACTTCATCACTTTTTTTTTGGTTTTGGGAGTGTTGATTTGTCACTGGGGGGAGTGTAGGAGGAATCACTTGTAGTTTCTCACGTGTGGTTTTTCACGAGTGTTTCTTTGTTTAAAGATAATGCACTATATTTAGTTTATATTTTTTTGAGGTATCCTTATTTGAGGTTCCTGGATTGAAAAACAGCAAAGTGAAGGAGTCTCCAACGTTTGAAAACACTATATATTGAAAAGCACTATACATGGACTCATATGTGGACTTTTGCTGATATATGTTGTTGCACTGTTCGGGGGTGGTAGAGGGATTATCGAAAAGATCCAGCACATCAACCTTTTCACAGACAACTAAAACATTTTTTGCTAGCAAGAATCGGCACCCACCTGTTTACATATAATGGGTTGGAGAGGACAGACAGAAAGCTCCAGCTATATCGCTGTGAGCAGCCTTTTTATCACTGTCATGAATGTGACTTCACCATTTGGGGGAATTTTTGTTTGTACAACAGGCCCAGGTCTCCCAGTTGGGGTGATCTTTATTGATCCCCAACAGAGATAAATAAAACATCATAAATATATTACTATCAGGGCATAGTGAGTACTTATGTTTGGGTTTTATTGAATACCAAGAAATACCAAAACATTTGTCTGTTGTTTTTTATATAGATTAGTGTGACTTGTTTTTTGGTAGAATCCTTCTGTTGTTTCCTCTGGCACTTACATAGACTGTTGGGATCCACACTCTGCAGACCTACTGCAAAAGGTTCTGTTCATCACTGCAAACTGCTGAAGTTTTTATTAGAACTATATAAATCAGTGGGGGGAGCAACATTTAAATTACAGAGGGTCTCAAGTGCAGCCCCTGACACTTCTAGAGGGCTGAAGAATGACAGCACATTTTTGCACCTCAATGCCCCAAAATATTGCATCATTATCACAATGTATGAATAAGTGAATAGGTAGGGGCTGAAATAGTTATATGCCAAAGATAAAAAATAGAATGAACTATCAATAACATCAAACAAATGGAAATCCTGGACAAAATATGATGAATGGTGAACATATAACAGTGACAGTCCTGTGAAGATGTAGTCCCGTAGACCAAAAAGTATGCTCTTTCACCATGTGCAGGCAACAAGTGAATTTCTCACTCACCAGAAAAAATTGACCCCGGTTAAGGTGATCAAATATCGCTTTGTTATCATAAATAATGACGACCAGCAACAGGCTCTCTTAGATCAGGCCTCCTGGTCTCCTAATAAGATGGGGATCCAGGGGATCAAAGATGACTGCCCCCAGTTGAGTAATCACAAGACTCTGGGTACATAGATAGTGAATGGATTCACAATCCCTTGCTCTCCTCAAGATAAAGACAATGCTTCAAGCAGCTCAAATAAAGCAAATGAATCAACAATTAAGCCCTAGCATGGGAAACACAGAGCTCCAGCCATCTTACACTACCTGGTTTAGTTTTGTTCAGTGAGTCGGTGTCCTGTGTGTGGTCATTTTTCTGTAGTGCAATGCAGCCTGACAAGCTGTTTTATACAATTTGCACCAGTTCACTAGATGTCATGTTGGTTGATATCAATGATAGGAGCATTGGAGTGTTTTTTTTTCTGTCTACCCATGTATTGGTGGTCATGACAGTTAAAGTGCTCCCCTCCACCCCGTCCTCCCCTGTACAGCTGGTCATGGTAGTACATGTTAACCCCTGCCCCCGCATTGATGGTCATGGCAGTGAAAGTTAATCCCTCCTGTACTGAAGGTCATGGTGCTGAAAGTGTTAATCTCTGATCCCCTTCATATTGGTGGTCATGACAGTGAAAGCATTACCCCCCATCTTCCCCTGTACTGGTGGTCATAGCAGTAAATGTTATCCATTGCCCTCACATTGGTGGTCATGGCAGGCAAAGTTAATCCTTCCTGTATTGGAGGACATGATGTTGAAAGCGTTGACCTCTGATCCCCTCATACTGGTGGTTATGACAGTGAAAGTGTTAACCTACCTGTCCCCTCCTGTATAGGGGGTCATAGCAGTGAAGGTGTTAACACTCTCCCCAGTTGGTGATCACTTACCTATCAGACAGTCCTATGACGCTTTCTCTCCCCAAGCTGGAACTTTACTTGTACTGTAGGGGGAGATAACTCAGTACAATCTTTCTTTCAGTGCTAGCTGCTGGTACACAGAGAACATTCCAGCGCCTGGCCCACTACTGCCACTCTGTCTTCTATATGGTGCCCAATACCCCAGGGGACACTTGTAAAGGCCTGGTGGGTCACACAAACAACTGAGAGTCATGTGTTGCGCACCAGGAATATGAATGAACAAAATAACATAACAAATGAGGTGCTAGAGAGGTTTGACCGCACGTAGTGACAGCCCCCTTCAAATTACGCATTGTTAAAACAACAGGTTTCTGAGCGCAGGGTTTTCTGCATCTATTTGAAAGGGCCAATCATTGCAAAATCAGGAGCTAAAAAAGTATTTCTGCCAAATTATCACAAAAAATTGACGGTGGATGATATAGAAAATAGGGTAGGTTGATGTCTATGGACCAAACATGTAAGTGATTTTTTTTTCATCCAGAGAATAAAATGAGCAGAAAGAAGTCATCTTGTGATATAATCAGCATGTTATAAAAACATTACATAATGCAAATCATTCTGGTTTTCTTCCAAATAAAGGGTAATAATTAGACCTGGCTTAGTGTTCAGTTCTTTGCCCGCTCCAAATGAAGAGAAAATGCTTGCTTTTCTTTTCCATGAGACATTGATGTGGTTTCAATTTACAATCTAATCATCTGTGGTTTGTTTATCCTAGTTGGATACACAATGAATGACCTTATATTTGAATGGATGATGAGCAATAGCCCAGTGCAAGTCGCTGATGGTTTAACGCTGCCGCAGTTTATACTAAAAGAGGAGAATGAGCTTGGCTACTGCACAAAGAATTACAACACAGGTAAATGGTTTTCCTTGTGATTTTATTATTTTAACTATATTTACTATCGATTACATTATTCACAACCACAGCATATGTACTGTATATAACGTAGAAGAAAAAGACATGCCAGTGATAATTAGCAAGTGAAGGTCAGCAGAAAATTGTCAAATATTCTTTACCAGATACTGTATAACAAGTAGAGGCCTTAGTAAAGATTGAATGCTTCGAAAGTTTACATGGAGAGCCTGTTGTCAGTATTGCAAGCAGGATCCAAAAGGGACCTCTTACAATCAGATGGTGCAAGGAATTTGGAGCAGGTTTCTCTGCTGTGTGAAGTCATAGAGCTATTAAAGCAGAGCTCCACCCAAAATGAGAAGTTCCGCTTTAAGGACTGCTCCCCTGCTCCCCAATAAGTATTGGCACCTCTGGGGGGCAGGGGGGGAGAGGGTACCTGAATTTGACAGGTACCCGCTCCCACCTCCAGTCCGATCGCCTAGGTGACCGGATGCGGAAGGTGTCCTCCCTCCATCCCTCCCTGTAGTCTTTTGGGACACGTGACAGGTCCCAGAAGACTACAGGACCATTCATGAAGTGCAGCGCTACTCTCGCATGCACAGTGGGCACCCGGCTGTGAAGCCGCAAGCTGTCACAGCCGGGTACCCACACTAAAGATGCCAGCGCCTGGAATACAGGAAGGCCGGTGAAAAAGGCTGCGGGGGACACATCGCTGGACCTAGGAACAGGTAAGTGGCTGTTTTTTAAAAGTCAGCAGCTACAGTTTTTGTAGCTGCTGACTGTTATTTTTTGACAGGGTGAGTGGAACTCCGCTTTAAGTATTTATAATTTATTACAGGTACTTATATAGCACTGTCAATTTACGCAGCGCTGTACTTATATACATTGTACTTTCACAACAGTCCCTAACCCTTAAGAAGCGTACAATCTAAGGTCCCTAACTTACATTCATACATACACAAACTGTACTAGAGCCAATTTAGACAGGAGCCAATTAACCTACTAAACTTCCTTATCACATATTACCCTAATAAAAAGTATACTGATTTCTTGGCTACAACATCACAAGAAGGGTGGAAAATTCTATACCACAACCCCCTGCACCCTCTGTAAACAACATACTCCTCACACTGCACACAAGAACTCTCGGGTGGGGTGCCATTGGTTTCTTCTGTGTTTGTCCCGCTACCTAGTATGTAATTCAGAAAATAACTGGTACAGATTGCCCCTTTATGAGTTCACCAAGCAGATCCATTCAGAGTTGCATGAATGGATCCCATTGCCTCAGCAAAGCCCATGAGACCAGGAAGTGAGGGAAGAGATCCGCTGCAGATGGGCACAAGGCTGGATCGAATGAGGGCTCAGATAAGTATAAGAGGTTGGTGAGGGTGGACAATACTACCTAAACATTTTTTACCTTAATGGAACGAGTGCATTAAGGTAAAATATTTTTAAGCCTTATAACCAGTTTAATCCTTTTACCTTTTAACCCTACTGCAGAGCCTTTCAAAACATAAACATATCAGCAGAAGCTGGGGGAAATACGTACAGCCATGAGGAAAGCAGGGAGATGGGGGACATGATAGAAACCTTTGAATTTGTTACTGTGGTTGAAATGGCAGAAGGTCTTTTTACCTTCATGCATACTATTCTATTCTATTGCCTTTTACCAAAAATAATAAATGCACATTTTTTTTGCAGGTAAAAAAAAATGTGGATTTTTTTATTTTTGGTTGCAAGAACCTGTAAAGCATTGTACCAGTGATCAGCAGACCGCTGGTACCATGCAGGTCTCCTGCAGACCTGCCAGTATATCTGCTTGCCCATACTTGATGTATGGACAAGCAGATATACTGACAGGAAGAATCAATGAACTACCATGGTGCTCCACAGTGGTAGTTCATTGAGGACTACAAGCCGACAGCCGCTAAAGGTATTGGGTAATGGGTTGCCTGGTCAGCTGCAAGGAGAGTATATCACTTTGCTCTAAATAACAGAGTTTCTTCAACAGCATTAAAAAAGCAGATAATTTATCCCTACAATCTTGGTGCCCAACCTTTGGTTCCAGGGCCACATGTGGCCCTTTTGTGTTTGAAGTGTGGCCCTCGGACTCCAACAGGAAGTAGTGGAGGCATTGATATATAGTGGGGACTTTAACAGTAATGAGCTCAAGCAGTTGTATGTGACATGCCCTTAATTTCTGTCTTTCTACTAGAGCATGACTTCAACCTCCACTGAAGAATAATCTCTTATCATTACCTCTATTAAAAGATAAGTTCACTTTTTTACCAAAAATAATAAGCGCATATATATTTGCAGGTAAAAAAATGTGCATTTTTTTAGGAACCTGTAAAGCATTGCACCAGCGAACAAAAGAATGCTGGTGCCATGCAGGTCTCCTGCAAACCTGCCAGTATATCTGCTTGCCCGTACGTGATGTATAGGCAAGCAGATATACTGACAAGAAGAATTAATGAACTACCACAGAACTCCACAGAGGACTACAAGCCAACAGCTGCTAAGGCTGTCAAGACTTGTAGTTTTCCCATACATCACGTACGAGCAAGCAGATATACTGACAAGAAGAATCAATTAACTACCACGGCGCTCCACAGAGAACTACAAGCTGACAGCCATTAAGGCTGTCAAGACTTGTAGTTTCTCATTCATAGAATACTGTGAATGAGTGACGCCCTGCACAGCCACGTTTTTAAAGAAATTAGACAGCTAGTGGGGGGGGGGGGAGATCCTCCACTAGCTGCCAAAGTGGGGGAGCGGGGGCCAGTGCATTCATAACATGTCACATGTTATACCCTAAGTATGGGTGTAAAATGTAACATGTTATGCAAGGTGAACTTATCCTTTAAGACTACGGCAGTTTTCTGTAGCATTACATATAATAAATATTATAGGCAACTCTTTGAGACATCGGGTGCCATTTTTGAGGTCCCCTTTACTTCATAAGTTGATAACCACTGCCCTACAACAGTGATGAGATGAACTGCCCTGTGTTTGTTTGATTCAGTGAACTTCAAGGAAGTTCAGATGGCGAACCCCAAACACATGGAAATCAATGGTTACTAAATCTGTCAAACTTGAAATGCCCATTTTCTGGCCTAATAGGCAAGAGGTATCAAAAATAGCATGTGGGGTGCGTTCTGCCTTGGGTAACAAGCACCAATTCCAAATCTTTTTTTTTTTTTCAATTCAATTCAGTCAGTGATTTTTTTAAATGGTTTAAGTGGAGCAATTGCCAGCAATTTGTTTGACAGCTGTCATCGTCAACTTATTTGTTTAAAAAGAAATGGCACACAGAACCCGCCAAGGGTCTGCTACTTGTTTTGGGGGACATTTGGAGGGATCTGTGTGCTGTTAAAAAAACCCAAAGAATTGGCAATGAATTTATTTTGCCTGCAACTTAAATCTTAAGTCTGGTATTTTAAGGGGGTACCTCACACACACAAAACAAATGTGAAGTCCCCTAGGGAATCCATACTGGATCTTCCAAGTCAGGTGCAGATTTGAGGAAGAACTCACAAAAAAAAATGTGTGAGGTTCCCCTAAAAAGCCATACTAGACTCACCGCAATCTAAATATGCAGCCTACCTGGGCAGGAAAATGGAAGGAGGGGGAGACTGTGAACCATACCAGGTCAACCCTGTTGAAACATACCACCATACAACACCCCAGCTCCCCACCCAAGAGAGCCTTCCACTACCACTGCCCCCCATACACCAGCCACCATCCCCCCATGGCGACAGAGAGAAATACACTAACCTTCCTTCACAGCTCTGGACATCCCCAGGAATGAGAGTCGGGTGTGCATACAACGTCATGAACCCTCAGCCTCTCTCGGAACCCACAAGGTCCCCATGCCATGTGTGCCCCTTCTTCCATCCCTGCTTCTAAGGGGCAGTGCTGCCCCCCTGAAAAATGCCACCCTAGGCAAATGCCTTGTGTGCCTTGTGGTAAATACACCCCTGGGTACCTTGCCAGTGGGGGGAAATCCCATCCATGTAAGTGAATAGGGCTGGTAATGTCACTGATTGTTAAAGACTTGGCGGTCCCTGCACCTGCCTGCATCTTTAAAAAACCACTGACAACAGTAAGCTGTTATGTATAATAGTGGTAATAATTCTGCTCCCTCTGAACAATTACCCTATAATCATGCTGACCATTAAATCAAACATTCCTCTAAAGCCTTATAATGTAAGAAGCTGCCAATAATATTATATCCATATGCACAACTAGCATTAAAGCAGAAATATGCACTACACATAAGATACAACATTACAAAGTCCACAGTCTTTCTGCGTAATGTGTTTCATTCATATACAAAAAATGTCCTCCAGTTCTGGATCCTTCATTGTTAACCAGGTACAATTTGCAGAGCACCGCTGTGGTGTTCTGAAATCCACATCAAATGTGCTTCAACTGTGTTATTCACCACCACCTTCAGAAAGGCTTACTCACCAGATGGGGTGAACCTCAAACTGTAAAGGTCAGGTGCACATTTTTACCATTATCACTAGAGCTCTCAAAGGGTCGGCAGGTGACGTCACCACGCTGGTTCACTGTACCTACTTTGAGTGTAAGGACAAGCCTGGGATAGACCACAAATAAATAAATAAATAATGGAGCTTAAGGCATCCAAAGCTTTTATGTTGTGTTGGCATCCTATGTGGATGACAGATTTACTATACTTACAATACTTGTATGCTGTTTATCATAGTGCTCGGTGCACTTATGTAATGTAAGCACAGCTACATATTTTTATTAATTTTTTTTATAATACAGTATTACTTATTATTGGAGGGTACTTTATGTTCATATCAGCGAAGACAGATTTTGAGCTGGAGAGATCTGGAGATAATGGTGACAATTTTATAATGGTGACCTTTATAATTTGAGGTTCATCCCATGGTGAGTGAGCCTTTCCGGAGGTGGTTGATAACACAGTTGGAGCCCATTTGATGTGAAGTTCAAAACATATGCAGAGCTGTGCATAATTTACCTGGTTAAAAGTGGTGGATCCATTTCCACAGACATTCTTTGAGTGGTGAATGAAGCACAGTTACACAGACAGATTGTGGACTTTATAACATTGTGTATTATTTGTAGCACATATTTTTGTTTTAGCGCTGACTGTATATGTGGATAGAAAAATAGTGGATCCAACTGTACACTTCTGTGCAACTGTTTTTACTGAAGTGCCGCATTAAAAATACATTTTCTTTTAAGAACACAATGTTGATACAGTAGTAGAACACTGCGTCATATCTTGTAGCATTCTATTCTTTTTACTGTGTTCAGTGAAGGTCTTAATAATGTTCCCATGTGTACTGTAAAATCATATAGGGGACTATCCGTGCATACATATGCTGTGTGATCTCTCTGCACTACACTGGTGCTTATATTGCATGTCTTTTTCAAATGCTTCCATAATAAATCAAAAGGACCACTATCATGCAATAGAAAATCATCCCCCAGAGACTCCTCAAAGCTTTCTTCTGACTGATGGGAGTTCATTAGATTCCTTTTGTTGAGAGAATCCAATGAATGCATAGGAAGGCTCCTGATTCTTTCCAAATGAATACGTTTTAACCGCAGCCATAATTTCTCAGATAAGCACGAGCGTATTCCAGTTGCATCAGTTGTGTCATTGTGCTCAATCTCATAATGAAACGTGGCAGATTCAGCCATATGTGTCATACTTGCATCTGTCACTGTTAGGAAAAAATATCCTGTAGATCTCAAGTACAAGAGGGTCACATTTAGTTTAAAAAGTACAGCCACAATTTAAAAAGGAGAAAAAATTTACATCTACGGATAAGAAAGGTTTTGCAGAGAGAAGATGAAGAATCATGGTGTCACTATTAATCATTTTCCACTAGAGTCCTGGAAGCGTGTAAAATGTTTAGACTTAATGCATGTCTATGATTTCTTGCAAAGCTTGGAAGATAAAAATATGTCACACGGAGGCAAAGTAATGTAACTGGGAATGCGACTGTAGTTATCACCAGGACATAGTTACTGCTGGTTCTGCATGCGTAGTATTTTAACAAAGAATAAAAAGCTACAAAGGCATATTCTCAAAGGGACAATTTAATTGTAATCGGGTTCGCTTGCTAATAGGATTTGTGACCTATTTCTGGTAAATTTGTATATGTATCATACAGAACTGCTGACTCATGATAAACCAAAGATTTATGTTTAATATGGGGCTGAATTTATATAAAAAATATTAAAGCAACACATAAAAAAAATGCTTTGCACCGTGGCAGTTTTGTAGCCAATTAGGTTTATCCAAGGTGCGAATATTGCTAACTGAAAACTTTTGTTTGTTCTTTTCTTTTCTTTTATTATTTATTTAATTATTTTAAAACTGTATTTAAAAATACTATGTGTATCTGATACAGTGTATGTATTTTTTTTAAAGTGGGGAAGAATTAGAACCTCTGTCACATTTTCATTGCTGTCTGCAGATTCACCCTTACATTTGTCCTGAAGATCATTGCTATCAAGAGAGAAAGTGATCCAGATTTTAGAGTTGTCACCAGAAAAAAAAAGTTAGGGGAAATCATCCAGTGGAGACATCTGCTCTGCACTATCTAAGCAGAATTCCCCTCGTTTTGTAGAGATTTCCTCTTACTTACTTCCTGTTGCATCTGGGACAGGGAGCGAAGGGAAATCTTTTCAGCAGAGCACTTTCCTATGCTGGCTGCATATCATCACACTGCTATTTGAAACAGTGATGACCTGGTTACGCAGTATCTGAATTTGGTGAATAAAACACTTCATGCACATTTATTTTAATGGTGGATTTAGATGAGAAATTTTTAAGATTCCTTACAACACAATTGTGCATGAAAATCCCAGTAGATCAGAAGTTTTTTTAAATACTCAGACCAGCCTATCTGGCACCAACAACCATGCCACGTTCAAAGTCACTTAAATTCCCTTTCTTCCCCATTCTAATGCTCGCCTTGAACTTCAGCAAGTTGTCTTCACCACATCTACATGCCTAAATGCATTGAGTTACTGCCATGTGATTGATTAGCAATTGAACAGGTGTACCTAATAAAGTGGCCGGTTGTGCAACCGAGAGCTCTTAGCACTGTTATCACTGTGCTTTCTGTACTTTTGTTTTATTGTTAAAAAGCAACTGGTAAGCCATAGATGGATCAAGTCTTGGTTGGTACAGCAGTGACCGGCCAAGATTCAATCCATCTATGGGCAGGCAGACTGTGCCCAAGTCAATTCATCAACTGACTTGGGTACAACCAGCCTGTTGGATTTACTGCCTATATGGCTATAGCCACTAGCAGAAATTATTGTAATCTGTTGGCCAGGAAGGCTCCCTGTGCCCAACCCCCCCCCCCCCCCCCCCTTGCAGAATGCCATAGCACTGTGGGAATCAAGCCGTTTTCTTTTCTTCCACCTTTGGTGGAGGGAAACAGAATTGTTTAATCTATGGCTTGCCTTAAACAAGTGACTACACCTAGACTGAAATAATGCCATCAGTCTGTTGCAGGCAGGGGGGACACATTTCCTCTCCTCTATTGTTTAGACTGCAACACTGTAACTTTGCAGTAAGTCAAAAGGTAAGAGGCTGCAGCTGGAGTTGATCTGTGTCGGACGTTTGTGGACACAGCCAAGAACTACTCAGGGACCAGGATTTACATGACTGTCATCTCTGAGCCAGCATCTCAATCCAGGAAATAGATAGTGACCCTGGATAATGCCTGATCACAGATGGCACCATCGAGAGGAAAGCTGTTGAAGATATTGCCAGAGGGGAGTACTGTGGTCTCAGTGAGAGGCAATAAATATCTGTATATATTACTTAGCCTGCATGCACTTAACATGAAACAAGTGTAAAAATTAAATTTTGATTGAATACAATCTGGTTTGCTAAATTACTCTCAGCCGCAGCCTACACAGTCTCTCCTATCTTCAAGTACTGATATTATTTTTCTTTATATACATATAGCTGTTTTAATCTGAATTTATCAGGCCTCAAAACAGTATTAAAAACAAACAAACATGACAACTGCTTTTTAATGCACAGTGCTTCAGTAAACTAAATGTGATCCAGTTAGGGCTCCCTATACACTATATTGCCAAAAGTATTGGGACACCTGCCCTTACACGCACATGAACTTTAATGGCATCCCAGTCTTAGTCCGTAGGGTTCAGTATTGAGTTGGCCCGTCCCTTTGCAGCTATAACAGCTTCATCTCTTCTGGGAAGGCTGTCCACAAGGTTTAGGAGTGTGTCTATGGGAATGTTCAACCATTCTTCCAGAAGGGCATTTGTGAGGTCAGGCACTGATGTTGGCCGAGAAGGCCTGGCTCGCAGTCTAATTCATCCCAAAGGTGTTCTATTGGGTTGAGGTCAGGACTCTGTGCAGGCCAGTCAAGTTCCTCCACCCCAAACTCACTCATCCATGTCTTTATGGACCATGCTTTGTGCACTGGTGCTCAGTTATGTTGGAACAGGCAGTGGCCAAACTGTTCCCACAAAGTTGAGAGCATGAAATTGTCCAAAATGCTAATGCTTTGCTTTACAGCCTTTGCAAAAAAAATATACCCCCATCATATTTGGCAGACATAACCACCTCTTAACACGACCCATTCAGATGAATGAGGCCAATGCACAACCTCCCTACAAACATATGCAATGCATATGGTTGCAGTGCAGTTGTACTGGTTTTTCAAGTTTAAAACAGGTGGCAAGTAGCCCTGTCAGATGCCTTCTGAATAGAAAAACACCACAAAGTGATTTTCAGAGGGGTGGAAAGGGCTGCCACCAGTACAAGAGCTTGTTTACACTGGCAGGAGTCCTTGCTGCCAGTAATAGATTTCTTTTCAGAGGGTGGTAAACAGGTGGCTTGGAAGCAATATGTAACTTCCTCATAGTCTGTTTCAACCCTGAAAAGCCTGCACCACTGCACACTCCCATTTACTTGATTGGGCCATGTTCCTAGGTATTGTCTGCTGAACGTAATGAGGGTATAATATTTGCGGCAGCTGCAAAGCAATGTATCTTAGCTGAAGGATGTGTGCAACCCCCTGTTAGGTTAGGGGAGGTGGTTGGGGTGGTAAAACTGGGGTTCAGCAGCCTATTCCCCCCCCCCCCCCTTCCCGGCTGCATGCATGTGTGAACAATCACCAAATAAGGATCTAAGGATTTAGGATCTACTTTGATAACCACATTGTCCTCCATCTAAGCTGATAATGTTAACCTCTGTTTCAGGAAAATTTACATGTATCGAAGTTAAGTTTCACCTGGAGCGCCAAATGGGATATTACTTGATACAGATGTACATCCCCAGCTTGCTCATTGTCATTTTGTCTTGGGTATCATTTTGGATCAACATGGATGCTGCTCCTGCTAGAGTTGCTTTAGGAATCACAACTGTCCTAACAATGACGACACAAAGCTCCGGATCGAGAGCTTCACTTCCAAAGGTAAGACTAGTGCTCTGCTTTCTATACAAATAATACACAATTATTAAGGTGTTACCTATTAAGGACTGCTACCAAAAATGGAGCCATCTTTCCATTGTCTGGTATAATAATTTTGTGTTTGCAAAAATTTGAGCTATCAGTGAATTTTTGGACAGGTGTCCATACAAAAATACATTTTGTTGGCAACCCTATGTGTGCCTCGGTGATATCTGTTTTCAGTTTGGATTTTAAAAGTAAAAATTAATTTCTTTATAAAACAATGTGAACCAATCAGATTGAAGCTTTCACTATTTTACAGAAAGACAGAAATATGAAAACTGATTTTTTTTCCCACTGATCTCTATGTTTTGTGTACTTTGATCATTGCTTTTTGCTTTATTAAATGCATAGCATAAAGATGAAATGTGTAATCATTAGAAATTTACAGAAGTAACATAAAAATATGTGGGTAACATTTTATGTTCTGTATGTTCTATGTAATTATATCATTTAATTGTAACACTAAGTGATCTTTATAAACATATTAATACATTTTAATACCAATGAATATTCTTATTTATTTGAATGGCAGTTGTAATATTTTATGATGGTTTCATTTTTGACTATATACAGTATAGTTTTATCAGTTTGTTCTTTTTTGGCACTGAGGTTTGGGCATTAGCAACTTTTACCACTTCTAGCACCAAACAAGGTACATTCAGTCCTTCAGTGGCCAATTTAGTCTAAGGGATTAGGAACAGAGTTAGGGCCACGCTTTAGATAAACTTTAACTCCATGGCTCTCCTGCTCCTTCATTCAGGAGTTAACAGTACCAAGTAAGTCAGGATACTTGGAACTGGATCAATCAGTCCATAGTCCTGGGTAACTTACAAGTCATTTGCTCAACAACACTTTTCTCTCACTAATGTTTGCAACTGTTAAACCTGAACTCTGTGATTAGCAAATGCAAGAGGCATGCAAATTTGAATCTTTGTGTATTTGTTCCAGGTCTGTCCAGTAATCCAGTGTGAAACTTTTCCTCTGTGCAGGAGCTTCCTGTGATAAATACCAGTGGCAAACTGCTCTTTCTTTATGCAGAATGAATGGTCTTGTCTCCGCCCCTTCCTGTAGTTTTCTGCTGGAAGCTTGTAGTGGGTGGAGCTGTTGGGTCCCTCCCACATGGATAATGTTACTACTACTATTACAAGGTTAAATCTGGGTTTGAAAATGCATTTGGTGCACACAAAGTGGATTTATGTCCATTGTGGTTGCTGAGGAGTTTTTTTAAATAGATGTTTTTGCGCCCAGAGTTCAGCTTTAAAATCAAATACACACAGAACAAGATATAATATAATAATTTTTAGAAAGTTTTTCAAAATAATATAAGCTGTTAAAAGTAAAATACTTTTTAAAAAGATTTTATTTATTAACAGCCAGTAATAAAGAATAATAATAATAATAATAATAATAAAAAACATTGTACCAAAGGAAAGCCATTACTGTCTTTACAACTAATAAGAAATTATTTAAGTAGCAAATTAGTTATAGAGTAATAGTCAAGGTAATTGATGCATACATTTGGTCTGGGCATCTAGGGCATCTAGCATCAGTGAACTATGATTACAAAGGGTTGAATCATAAAAAAGAAACCCAAAACAACAAAAAAAAACCTTGTTGTTAATTAACCTCTTTTGTACCGCCATATGTTTTTCAGTTGTGGAATGGCAGCCCTTTATTTACGCAGTGTTGTTTATGAAGGGCATTAATCTGCCGGGTGATCACTGTGTACCCATTCATCTCCATGATGCCACTTTATGTGACCTGTTCACTTCCTCCTTCCTCAGTGTAGCTAGTGCACCATTCTCAAGCTCCATGTTTAACCGCATCGTTGCTGGCATGTTACTTCATTTCCAAAAAAGTGGTAAAAAAGGGGGTGTTTACATTTTGGGGGTTTTCATACTATTCTGGCATTTTTATTTTAATAGTAAATAATTTATTTTCATTTTTGGTCTTTTTTCCTATAAATAGTTAAAAAATAAAAACCCACCAAAAGAATGCTTTATCTGTCTAAAAAATAATGATAGAAAATTCATTTGAGTACAGCTATGTATAATGGAGTAATTGTCAGTCAAACTATCACATCACTGAAACCTGAAAATGACCTGGTAATGAAGGGGAATTACAGGTTGGTACTCAAGTGGTTAGGTACCCCTGGCATTCCCAACCCCTGTCACTATCAGTTTTTGCTGGTCTGCGTGTAATGGGGAAACATATACTGTAAATAAATACATGTGAAATTAACACAAGAATATGTATATTGATTTGCTATCATTACATTAATTAAAATGTTACTAAACCCAGGACCCTGCATTCAATCTATCTGGTCTCCTACAGTACACACCACATGGAAATGCAATTATTTTAGTAAATATAAACTGCTAAATACCTTTTTCTCATCAGCAGTTAGAGCAGTCTTATGACTTTTGTCAGTGTTCAGCAGAACACTGGTTAAAGCTTGTAGGAGGAGTTTTATTTCTGCTCTAAGAGGATGCAGAACCCCTGACCTCTGTCTGGATAGTGCTGATTAGCCCTGTGCCGATTACATGCACTCTTCCAAGAAAAAAAAAAAAACCTCTCTAGCAATACACACCAAACTCGGCATGTGCAGAGTGTCTCCACGTGATATGTCTTATCAGGAGATAAGAGGGGGGCACTGGAAGAAGGGGAGGATCAGAGAAGTCAGCATCAAACAGCCTTTTTACACAATGCAGAGGATTAACCTCTTAGGTTCCACAGTGAGTATAACAAGCATGCTTTACAGCATATACAGACTGATTTTACTGCTGTGGGTTTAGTAACACTTTAACTGTATAGAGTTACTATAAAATAGTGTTCATCATTGCGGTCCCCTAAGATTGGTTGTTTGAATGTATTGGTAGCATGTCCTACATTGGATGCAAATTAGTATTTTCACGTGGATGAGCATTAAGTATGCTGCAGTCAACTCTGCATGGCTTCTTCCTAAATCTGTGATTATGGAGCATTAGGGTTCAAATTCAGTTGTCCCATTATGAAGATGCATTTCCTTCCGCTGCAAAGTTGATCATTCTCTTTCTATATTTAAATACTGTTGTCTGATAATAATAGAACACACTAGACAGATAGTGACCCGGGGGCTTGGGAAGAATGTATATATCAAAAGCTCATCTGACTTGCAGTAAGAATAACTGTGGGATATGACTTGCACAGGTGAAAAAATAAAAGCAGAGTGCGTGTATAGAAGAGGATACCTACTGCATCTTTTTTTTAGGTATTGCTTCTCGCAACCAGAGTCAGTTGTCATGGAAACTGTTCTTATCAGATTGCTAATGGGCCAGTCACAGGTATCTCCAAACAAATCTCATCACTTGTATACCTAATCTGTCAATCCAGTGCAACATCAAGCTTTTTTAATATGCTGTATCAGGATATTGTGTTCTAGGTGTCTGCTTTGTGAGATATTTTAATGGGATATGTGGTGAGATTTTTTTTTTCTGAGATGACAAGGAATATAGTGAGGGAAACAACACAAGATAAAAGTGGTTACTGAATAATCAAATACTTATACAACTCAAGCCATTCATATAGTACCCAGGCCAAACAAATTACTTCTACAAGTGTTTAAAAGCTACAAGGTACACAGTAGCTATAGCATACAGATATGCATAGTTTTTTGGCGAATAAATGTTGGTGATTCCCAAAAGGAGTGAAACTACAAAATCCATAATATGCATATAAATTGGCTAATGACAACCCAGGAAATTCAATACTATGAAATTTGAGGGGTTCTTTTAACAAATGGGTCAGTAATATAATTTGTTATAGAATATAGGCAACTAGATAGTTCAATTCATCAAACGATTGTTACATGCAAAGCTCACTAAACATCAATTCAAAAAATAAATATTTGTATGAATTTATTCTGCCAGGATACAGAGAAAATTTTATTTTAGCATCTGTTTTTCAATTAGTCATCATTATCCCATTTAAAAAAAAAAATCAATGTTATTATTTTATTATAATGTATGCAAGCAGTTCACTTTTTGAAGACTTTTTTACTTGGAGTTTGTACCAGTTACAACAGCTCCTGTTGCAGCTACCAAAGCTGAACCACTGCCTTGCAATTAGTCAGCCTGCCGTGTGTGATGTTTCAGTTGGCTGTTAGGCTGACTATCAGATCACTCAGATAGGCAAGTCCAATAGCCAACTGAAGGAACTTGCATTGAGGGCTTAAAACACTGATGCTAATTGCAAGATGGTGGCTTAGCGTTGTCAGCTTGTCACTAAGGCAGCCCAAAGATGATTAAATTTTCTTTGCTTCCACCATGGGTGGAAGGAAAGAAAATCGCTTGTCAGTGTTGATGGAGGAATTCCTCCCACAGTGCTATTGTGTTTTGACAGTGAGGGGGGCCTTTCTGTCCAGTAGAACATAATGATTACTATTAGTAGCTATAGCCGCTGTCAGTAATTGCATGTAAAAAAATCCAACAAGCTGGTTTACCCAAATCGATCCATCGACAATCAGTCTGCCCATACATGGATCAAAATTTTTGCTCCCTATGACTAACCCCAGTGGGTGTTGCAAAATGCTTTAGGGTGTGTGGTTTGGTGGAGAAATGTAGGCTGAGGCCGCTCCGTTTATTCCCCTGGGTTGGTCAGAAGTACTGGCAATCCTTTTCTCTTTACATTTACTAGCCCTCTGGATTACTATCAGGACAAGCCTGCACGCCATGCTCTGGGACACAGGGATATGCTTTCACATTGACTTTGAGCAGCGTCAAAAGCAATATAATAGATTATAGAGACCTGCACATATGCCGCTCCTCAATTTTTCTTGCATAATCTTTCTTTTCCAAGCACTCAGCAGCCAGTTTTATTTTTTTTCCTCATCAGGTCAACTAAGCCCTGGTCAAGCAAACACAGACAGGGGTGGCAAGGCTAAAAAAATGGAAAAATTGACTACTGGGTGTCAAGGATATACCACTGACTGGAGGTGGGCTAGTAATGTATATACG